TAGCTTAAAGTTCCCCATTCTCAAGTTTCTACAACTCGGGGCCCAGAGAGGTGTTCTCCACCCGGTAAGAATTGAAACCGATCGAAACAAATGTAATTGGCCGGACCACAGACGCTATAATTATACGGCCTAAAACTTGGTGAAATGTCTAAAAGCGTCCTATAAACCTATTCTAACATTTTTAGATATGATTTTTTTTTCGGTCCTATAAATCAAAGTTCTATAAAACCAGTTTTAACTAAAACCGCGAGTTAACTTTTTGCAGAGAGCTATAATGGCACCGTACTGGATGACGAATGCCCACAACATAATCTTCGTTACAAAAGGTAACATGAGGATGCAGATCGTTAACAACGAGGGCCAAGCGGTGTTTGACGGTGTGATCAGCGAGCGGCAGCTGGTGGTGGTGCCACAGAATTTCGCGGTGGTGAAACAAGCCGGCGAACAAGGGTGTTCATGGATATCGTTCAGAACCAACGACAATGCGATGATCAACACCTTGGCCGGAAAAACCTCCGCCATGAGGGCATTGCCGGTGGACGTGATAACAAATGCGTACCAGATGTCGAGGGAAGATGCACAGAAACTCAAGTACAGTAGGGACGAAGCTGTGATGTTGAGCCCCGGCTCGATGTCCTCCGGAAGGTTTTCCGGTGGCGGCTGGCCGTTGAAGGCTTGAAGGTGGTAGTCTGAGTGGTTGAAGTTGTTTTTAAGAATAAGAGATGGTATTAGTTGCAGGTTGTTGATTAGCATCAACTTCTATGTATAAGAAGAACGGAGAGGTCCCTTGATTTTGATGTATGTTGAAATAAATAAAGATATCTGTGACTCTTTTGTGAAGTATGGAAACTTTTGTGGTCATATTGCAAACTTCACAACTTTGATTTTTGAGATTTTGGGACCGTTTATCAAACATTTATCTGGTAAGTGTTTATGTGTAAAATTTAACACTTTTATTTACTTACTTGGGTAAGACTTTATTACACTAAAAACGACATCGTATGCAACAATTTACCCGATAAGCACTTACTGGGATAAAAGTCGTCGTTCTCACTTATTGGGTAACACTCTTACCGTGTAAGATTCTTGATCATTACGATATTCATTCGATGAGGTAATGGAACTTGATCATTACGATATTCATTCGATGAGGTAAGGTAATGAAACTTGATCATTACAATATTCATTCGATGAGGTAATGAAACTTGATAAGCTCTTACCCAAATAACCTTAGTAAACTCTTCATTCCAATATCATTTTCATTCTTGTGAATCTTCAATAAGGCCTTACAAAAAAAAAAAACTTTT